TATATAATATCATGAGCTATATGGATATTGGAAAATGCTTGTTGATACGGGGATTTCAATCATGTCTAACAGCCCTAACTCAGATGTCAGAATCCATCTGAATATTGACGTGGGCAAATAACAATTTTCAGAACATGCAGCTTTCTGTGTGAAGGATAAACAGCATTACCACTCACAAATATTAGTACATACAGCCCAGGTAAACAGTGCATGTGGGGTGCAAATGAAAAACAAACTGACCCAAAGTGCAGTCAGAAAGAACTGATGTTTCTTTATAGTGCAAAAACAAAAGAATATTATGCACAGAAACAGACGTGGCCCGGATATGCAAGCCGCTACACCACAACATCTGGTTGTGAACCACCACAGTATTTCCATTCCTATTCCTCCCTAGGGGCTAGCAGTGCGTGATTGATGGATCCCAAGACTGAGGAAATCCAGAAGAAGATCCAGCTCTGATAAACTCAAGCAGAAAAAACACTGTAAATCACTGACCCTCATTCCTTTACTGTCCGGTCTGATTGGATAAAAGCCTGTCTTTTTTATCTGTTAACAGAAATGTTGCAAATGTGGATCTTGGCTTGTTTTTTTCTCCCCTGTCCTATTTATTTGACAAATATTACAACACAAATAAACACCACCTGCATTGGACTATCACAGACTGAAATATATATTTCTTTCTTCCCTGGTTAGAAGTCCCTGTAGTTAATGTCTTTAGTTACGCTAATTGAGCAACTGACAGTGGCTGAGATTGTGGTTGCCTAGCAGCAAACAAGGGACAATCATTGTGTTTTACTATCAGTTAAGAAAAGTGATTATCCTGTTTTGAATCGAGCAAAGCACATCCACTGTGACCTCCACACATATAGTTCACAGTTATACACTGAAGAAATGATTGCAGTAAATAGCTCAAGGCCACGAGTTTATTCATTTTGCCGCAATGACTGCTCAGTCGTGACATCTGATGATAACTCCATGGCCTGTACACTCAGCTACCAATTTATGTGAGACACTTAACAAAAAAATAACCAACTCTGCAGTACATGATCCCTCATAACCGTTATAATGTTCAGATTTTGTTAAGGCTATTTTAGAGAGTTGTTGCTTACATTTTAAGGTCATTTTGGAGAATGTAGTTTGTAGTGCTGTTGCACTATACTGCATTATACTGAGATGGGTTCCCACTATTTGCCATGTATGCCTATATCAATGAGGGTAGACTAACAACTCTCATACAAATGCATTTCAACAGCACCAAAATGCCATAAAGTTGAATCATCGCCCCTCTAAACACATTACAAACTTCCTGAAGGCAAGATTTGCTGTAGGACCGTTGTATTAGACTACATTTGTTTTAGCCCGGTGTGCCTAATAAACTGACAACTGAGTATGTGACACTACTTGTCCATACAAATAGCCCAAAATCCCAAACTATTCCATTTTGAATTATACATAACAGAGAAAAGCAACAAACCCTCAGATTTACAGCTGGAGCCCGTTAGTGTTTGGCATTTTGCTTGAAAAGTGACTTAAACAGTAAATCATTTATCAAAACTGTTACCAATACATTTTCTTTTGATCAACTAATCCCCTGGCTCCCAGCATTGAGGGTCTGGTGGTTCTCCTGAGGAGTCAGAAGATACATGTGGACATCTTCTGCACAAGTTATGCTTATATTTGACACTTTTCACCAAACTTTCCTGCTATATTATAACATATTGGATAGCTTTTCCTCTTCACGCGTATAAAAGCTTCCTAGTTGCAACATACCACAAGGTTTTATCAGTTGTTGGTTGAGCTGTTTGCAACTCAGGGACATGTGCAACCCCAAGGCCAAGGGTCATACACCACAAAGCAAGGGCATAGGTTTTACTTCTGTATTAATTTATGCCTTTTCTGCATCAGTTTATGGTATAAATGTCTTGAATTTTGAATCCACACATATCCTCTGCAAATGTCATGCACATGTTTTAAATATTGAGGATGATGTGTCCTCCCCGAAATCTATATCTGTGCCACAAAGGTTGAAAACCAATGAACCAATCGATTAACTTCATCGTTTCAACACTGCACGTCACAGTTACGTTGACGGGCGAAAATCGGAGCTTGCTATGGGTACCTGAACGCAGCATGTGAACAAACATCCCCTCAAGCTCCGCCACACCACCGCTACACTTTTTAGTCTGCTCCAAAACACAAATGCCTGCGTGGCTTCGGAAATAAAAGTATTTCTGACGATTGATAACAAATAACCAACACTTTCGTTGACTTTTTATGTGGGGGACTAAATTATTATCATGATGAACAACAGAAAATTAACTCATGAGATGTTATTCGAGTCAGTGTGTGTAATGTAATATCATATGTAGTGTGTTACTGGTCTAAAGAAAGATACAGATCCAACATTTGAAGACTTCATATATTCACGAACTTGGGCTCCAGTGTTGCAATCTACCACAATGCAACTCATGCAGGAGAAGATTCTCAAGTTTGTTTGCCACATTTTCATCATATTTGTGAAAGTTTTTTCTTCTTTTCAGATTGACACATGAAGGCTGATGGTACAAACCCCTAAGTAATGTTAGCCATGGCACTGCTGCAAGTTATTGAGAAAGAGGCGCTTACAATGAACCCAACATGAGTTAATTGCTGTTAAATCAACATTTAGAGCCGGTTAGCGGTTCTTGCTTCTCCCTTTTTCTGTCTTTCTTTATGTTTTGAAGCAAACAGCTAGCTCCCCCCTTTACTCCACCAATAACAACAGACTCACCACAACTTCAAGTGCAGATGGGGGGAATCAGCAAACCAGCTGTCGGGGGAAAATGGCTCTTTTCCGGTCCCGGACGTCACAGAAAACCCGCACAATAAAGAAATTCCTCCAATAATCTCCAACACGCTAAATAAACACGTGTCTCCTTTGTCAGTTTGTTCGCGTTGTCGGCTAAAAAACGGGTAAATCCACTGTTTCTCTGCCGAAACGTCGAGGGGGGAAAACGTTGTGTCGTGGGTTGCGTTTGTCCAGCTGTACACTTCAGTCATTGGTTGGAATCTACGTCAGTCAACGTTTCCTAGCAATGCTATTGGCTCAGACGAACACACGCCCCGCCCCACCCCTCAATTCATGTAAGTAAACAAAATATAACCCATTTTTCTCGCTGCTCCTTTTTTGTAATCAATATGACTAGTTAATATTTGACAACGTGGCGGTTTTAACCAGGTCGGACTCTTCTTTAGCAGACGAGGCTGTGGTTTTATGTTTTTTAAGGCTGTTAAGGAAGACAAAGCAAGAAGAAAGGAAGAGAGTAAAAGTACAACAGATGAAAGCTTTTCATAATAGTGTGAGCAGGGGCGTGCAAATGGTTTTTGGGGGCGTTTGTGGATGATCAATTACATTGGAGTTAGGCCTACATCTGTTTCTCAGAATTATAAACATTAAGAAGTGTTTGTTTTTACTGGATTCTTGAAATATCCCCACAGCAATGTATTGTAAATTATTCACAACATGCACACAAACACAGTATTGTGTTTGTTTCATCATTGATCACTGACTGCCACGAGTCAAAAGAAGCTCTAAAAGTTCAAGGCTGGTGCAGATCATGTGAAGAGAGAACCTGAAGTCACACACGTGGTTCGCTCACAGATAAGTCATTATGTATGGCCGAACTAATAAATTCAGGTGATCTAGACATTCCTGGAGTATGCTGGAATTTATTTTTGTTTTGTTTTTACATGATTGTGTATGAAAAATATAAATGATGGAAAGCAACATCAGTATAGACAACTAACTATTACAGTTGCCACACAAATTGAGCAATGGCATTGTCAATTTGTAGGACCCATCTTTGGAGGGAATTGTTGTTGTGCTGTTTTCTATCAAGGCTGAAGAGTCCTTGAGGGTTATAGAAATGCCTCTAGAAATGCAGTAAGTGTTATTAAACAACCTTCTCGTCACTGGATATTTATATTTTTTTAGAAAAATACAAGTTCAGCTCTGTGACGCAAATGTATTCACAGTACATGAGAAGGATGATCAAAGGTTAAGGTGAGATTAACAAACAGCACCTGAATATGATGTTTTGCAGTGATGCTGTGAGGGTTAGGTGTGCTCGTTGACTCCTTATTAAGAATGGTTATGTTATTAGGAGTGTCAGTGGCTTAGTGGTAGAGCAGGCGCAGATTTTGTGCAGAAAACAGTCCAAATTTACCATTTAGATTATATTTTTTAAAGGTTTAATATCCCTCTGATGATACAGCAAAGCCTTAATGTTAACACTGTGTAAATCTGAAGAAATTGGGTGTAATCATTTCCAAAAACCTTTTAAAAATGTGCCCTCCCATTGGTTACAGCTTTAAGCTAAAGATAAAGACAACCCACAGAAAGCAAGACAACATGATTATAGACCTTTTTAGGATGTTATCTGCCAATTAAAAGGCTATTATCTGTAGTTCATAGATATGAGCCTCATAGATATGGGTCAGTAAGGGCCTGCTACACCTACTGGTAGGTTCAGTAGGCAGTCATCAGCACATTCAATGGCCATTATTAGGCTTCACTTTTACTTTTACTTTACTTTAGGCACCAAAATAATGTGGTTAGGTTTAGAGAAATAAAGTTTCATGTGGAGCTCAAACTGCAGTGTCCTAAGTGAAAATCCTGCATTTAACCCATCCACCACCCCTCCCTACATGTGGACTTCCTAGGACATGGAGGAAAGTCCCATGAAAGCCCTTTCTATCAGAAAGTTGCACTAACCCAAACAGCTAAACTGGCAGATTTTTTTTTCTGTGTGTTGACAGTGTTAAAGAGCTGACAATGTTTTTAATAATGAAAATGCTGTTCTGAATCAGAAACACTGTTTGGCATAAATAACATGATGACAGTGACATGTATGTTGGTGTATGCAGAGAGATGTATACTGTTTCAGACTCTATCTAACATAACAGTGCATTCAAAATGCAGATTTTAAGCCCATGCTGACAATGATAGTTAGATAGAAAATAGTAGTAAATTGTACATTTGTTCTTAAAATGGTCATTAACCTATTAGTAGCACACATAGATAACTGAGGCCATGTTCCTCATTAGCTTCCTGGCACTTAAACACTACTTTTTCTAATAAGGTTGAACAGCCATACCTATTTAAAGAGTCCATGGCTCATTTGCGCAATTATCAACCCATGATTACAACTTTCACCTGTTTCAACCCAGCTGTCATCTCAAAAGCTAAAAGAGAGGAGATGTTCCAGGTCAGCAGTAAATTAGAGGGTGCATTACCCTAAAATCACAGAGGAGGGCGACTGTAACACACAGTGTGGTTATTGGGCAGTATGATGTGTCCCCTGGAAGAAAGATCATTATTGTGCTGTCGATGTAGATCGAAGTTGTGCAGCAGAAACCTTGGACATAAATACTACACCCTGATCCAATTCCCACCCCTGTAGCTGCTACTGCCTGTTGAAGTGGAGACTAATTAAATAAGGGATATAATGTTTTGCCATAAAACATTAAAGTGCCTACAGTTCCATGTCTGAAACTGTTTTCCTGTAGCTGCTATTAGCCCTTAGCTTACAGAGATCACAGAATAGAATCTACTTTATGCACATTTTTTCTATTAGTGACAGGGCAGGTAAATACTACATCCTAAGAGTTAGGTTCTCTATACTAATTGAAAACAAGTGACTATACTGCATTATTTGAGACACTTTGCATAACGCCACTGCTTGACATTTATCTAGTTAACATTTAGTTTAGCTCCAAGTCATCCTAAATCAGCACTCTAACAGATGTCCAGCTTGCTCTGTTGTTTCTGTGTTGTCTCAGCTGCATGCAAGATGCATGGTTGTGCATATGTGTTGAGAAGGTGTTGAGGACTTTAAATCAGGAGCACCAGATGTTTCTCAGAGTGTCAGCTCAAACCTGTGTGTGTGTCTGTGTGCTGATATATCCACAATGACATGTGATACCTCTCCTCAGAAAACTTATAAAGGGCTGCAGTCAGGAATGGGTTGTGTCCTTGTGAATACACACAGCACACACACCCGCATGTACAAACTGTATCCAAATGGAGACCAAAACTAGTCAAATATGTCTCTTTACTGTGGTTTCTGATCACACATGACAAAGGCAGTTAGAGAGTCTTTGGGTGAAAAATAACTTGATGTGAGATGCATATTGCAGATTTAATACAGTGCACACACCCACATATATTGTCATGGGAGAACACAGTAATAACATGCATGCACTCATACCAACTGTTCTCACACTCACTATTTAGTTACAGACAAAAGGAGGTACTCCACTCTTTTCCCCCTCCTTCCTTCTCTCCACTGGTGTTACATGACGCCGCCTCCCTCTTCCCTCTCTCCTCTGCTATAAATTTCACCCTCTCTATTTGCTATTGAATCATAACTCATAAATTCCCTTCCTGTACCTTTCTCTCTCCCCATTGCTCCCCCTCTTTTTTTATTACACAATAGCCCAGACTTGATGTCAGAGGCCAGTCATGTTTAATGTGTGTGTGTAATATGTGTGTGTATCTCCTACCCCAGCCTTTCCTGTGGCCCTGGGTCCCCACCCCAGGCTTCACTGGTGAGTTTATCCAATGCCACTTACACGGACACATGCACACATACACACACTGGAACATACGACACACCCTCGCGTGCACACAAGCAGGAAGTTGCACGTTAGCACGCACTCCAAGATACAATATTGCCTTTATTATTTGCTGCACAAACTCAATATTCCTGCACGTTCAAGCACTTATAGTCGAGGTCCTGTTAACACTCACCACCAAAGTGCTATTAACGTTCCAATAAGTAACAGGCCGACGGTATGTTCGAATTTAATAAGGTGAACGTGGAAATATATTCCTGCTACACATTTGTTCCAGAAAGCTTAAAGAAAACAAGGAGTCACAAAGTACATGCAGATATTTCTACTCCCCCTCTAATGGTTCCCCTGTGAGTTTTACACTGGCATGTTCAGACTCGGGGCCCCTCGTGTGCTTAACATGTTTGCTTTGAAAAAATGGTGCAAAAAGTCATGCAGCTCTTGTGCAAGACGATTTGTTTTATGAGAGGTTGCATAATTATTACCACTTTATAATTCACAATACTGGCGCAGGGTGAGTGGATCTGCAAATTCATGACCATCAGGCACTTCAATGGAAGAAAAGGGCAGAATAACATTTGTCCTAATTGCAGGTAATTGTGAACATTTCTCATTTCTCTCAAAACTTTAGCTTGACAGTTCATTCTTGACCTCGGAAAATCTTACGGGTAGTTATTTGAGAATATTGATAGTACTCTGTCTTCACAATAGATATAAAGCTAGAGCCAGTTAACTTACCTTAAACTGGAAAATGTGGAAAAAATCTACCCTGGATTTAAAAAGATGATCATACCAGCACCCCAAAAGCTCAAATAGTTCAGCATTTTGGGAATATATTTATTTGCTTTTATGCCAAGAGTTAGAGGAGAAGACTGATTTTCCTATGCAGCAAACTTCTGCCCACTCAGACTAAATATGAGGCTACCGCCAACAGGTGGTTAGCACAAAAATTTAAATGTGGCAGTGTGGACTCGAGTCACAAATTTGATGACTTTAGCTCAATTTGTCCTGTCCAATAAAGGCAAAAGCCATAAAAAAAAATCTTTAAAAAGAAAAAGACTTGCAACCTGACTCATACTCTAAGGCCAGTGCCTTGTGACTTCACTTGGACTTGACCATTCGGACTTGAAAATTCTTACCTTCCACCAAGCCCAAAGTTGACCAAGCATTTTATTTAAAAGTTTGCCACAAATCAATTAATTTCCCTTTATTTGACTTTGCTAATGTTAATACTGTTCATTCCCAGCAAGTGGACATAAGCCTTATTCCCCAAATCCACTTAGTTTGAACCAATCTGATAGCGTCCAGTGAAGTTATGGGAGACAACCATGAAGAACAAACATGTTAACGTTACTGGGAACGTTGGGAAAATGATACCAAAGATATTTCTTTTCTCATACAAAAAATATGTGGTGGTTAACAAAGACTAAATTGTAGTATGTATAATGTGTGGGTTAAAGACCAAGACGCAGCAACTTTCAACTATGCTCAACATTTTAAGTAGCGTTAGCGCAGTGAATGGCTATTAACAAAGTTAGCGAGCTAATGCTTACTAACGTTAGCTTAACAGCTAAGTAACTTTTTATCAAATAAATGCAGATTTTAAAAAGCATTCATGATTTTTGTAAATACAGTATTGGCATTACATGTATTTAAGAGCACACTGTGACTTCTTTAGGACTCAAAACAAAGCCAGGCTAGCTATTTCACATTAGTTCAACTCTTTGTGTTAACCTAAGTAAGCTAGCCGCTGGCTGTAGCCTGTAGCTAGTGATACCAATGTTAGCATCTAACTCTCAGCAAAAAGGCAAATATTTACCAAAATGTTATACTATTGCTTTAGCACTTACTTACATAAATGTAATATGTTTCATCAACAGGATATAATCAACTTAACTGCCTTTTCAAAAAAGAAATTCCCAAAATTGTTTTGACTCTTTTGCATGAACACTATCTGGAGAGGAAGTAACAGGTTCTCATTCGGGCTGCGACTAAGATTGGGCTCTATTTAGAGGAGATGGAGGAAGAACATTATCTTACAGTGTGTGTCTGTGTTTGCGTGCACGCTTGCATGTGTATGTTATGGGTGTGTTTCCGTCGCTCTAGGCCTTTCAGGGTCCCAGAGATAATGTGGAATTCATGGGAGGAATGCCGCACAGGGGTTCCTTCCTGTCACCTGACTCCATCACTTCCTGTGTTTGGCTTCCTGCGTCTGGACCTCTAAGGAGAAGGGTAGGACCACGACTCAGGATCTGTTTCAGAACTTGGGGTCTCTTGGGTGATGGAGGAGCTTGACTGTGCCCCCTGCTGGGTTAAGCAGGACGAATGCAGATAATGTCAAAACAAATGCCTAACATTATGAAAAGCCCATATCTGGTAACAAAGCTATTGATATTCTTCCACCTGACTGCTGATTTTAGTCATTAGAAAATTAACTAGAGCAAATTAATGGAGGCAAAGGTTCAAATAAAATGGATTAAACAAAGAAAGATGCAAGAGAAAAGACAGGAGAATGGCCCATAAAGCGGAGAAGGGACAGATGTAGAACAATAAAAGAGGCAGTAAAGCGAACGAAAGACGGAGAAAGAGAGAGGTGATGGCAGGATCCATATGGGGCCTCTTGGTTTTTGGGCAGCAAGGGGAGACATGCCAGGTAATGGCTTCCAGACACACACACACACACACACACACACACACACACACACCCTAATTCAATTTGGAAATCTGACAGAACAAGGAGACTGAGTGTATGGAGATGTGTGTGTGTATATACCAGAGGCCTTTTCTTTCGACTCACTCAAGAGGTCTGACTTCCTCTGCCCGTTGGGAGTGGGGCAAGCTAGTCTCAGTGTGTGTGTGTTTGCAGGCACTGGGGGTTAATGTATGCTTTCAATCACGGCTCTAGTGGGGAGAAATCAGATCCCTGCAGCATCGATGTGGACCTCAAGATCCACACATACAAAATGACACACACACACACACACACACACACA